CCCCCCCCCCCCCCCCCCCCCCCCCTTTTGTCCCGGTCCCATCCCTCCCCTTGTCTCCTCATTCGGGCTTTCTCCCAAGAAGGATTTCAGAAAACCCTTAAGCAGTGTCATACCCTTGCTTCCTGTGATTGTTGAAACGACTCGTGGGGTTGAGCGAATGTCGAAGATGATTGGTTTCTGGATTCCCGGAATCAGCACATGCGTGCCCTCACCAATTACATTTGGCTTTACGCCAGTGAATCGATCGAAAATCACTGCTCTTTGTCCACCATCCACTGAAAGAAGAGCAGTATTGCATAATTGGAAAAATAGCATTAACGCAGCTGAACCATTACCAAGAATACCATTCAATGTGATCAAAGAACCGAATGAATGTTTAAAGTAACAAAAAAATGCAGAATTTTAGTATGTAAAAAGCTATTGGCAGAGTATGCACATTCCAGTAACACTGTTAAGCGATTGTAGCAACCAGGTTGACACTGGAAGCCCAGATGGCGAAGGCGCAGTAGATTAGAGGACGAAAGAACAGTATGAGAAAGGAAGGTAAGAGCGAGACAAGACGTTTCGGTCCATTAAATCACATACGTCTTAACACCGCGAGAGGACCTTGTCGCTAATATTAGATCATCACAGCGACTATCCAAGTGGCCCTGGTAATCCTGGTCTTGCCAAATTTGACTAAGAGATTCACAAGTTCCCTTCCCTCGCCATACTTCCTCAAACATGTAGCTTTCGCTCTTCGCAATCTCCGAGTCCGTGCTATAGGTCCTCCTTGATCACAGGCTGCGGCTGAATTAACTTTTTTTCGTTCCAGCAACGAGATTCACAAGTTTTATCTCGAGGAGCTCGTTTCTCGACAAACTTCCTTGAAAATGCATCTTTCGGCCCCTCGCACCCTCTGAGGATCTTACATTATCTCTCTCTGGATTAATCCCAAACGAAATACACACCTTCAGAGGACCTTAAACCAACTATATTTGTTAATATACACATGATTTGAAGCCCTCCATCTTCCCCCTCAAATCTCCTGGTTGCGGGTATTTACAGTTCATATCTCTATAAATCCCTTACCGCGCAATACAAATTGGAACTAACCGTTGTAGAGGGCCTTCGATGCAACACCAGCGCCAATAGCCATAGTGGCGCCCAGCTGGATCAATCGTTTCATTAATTTATCGCCCACTGCTGTCATTTTTGGAAGCCTGAAAGAAAAATCCCGGAAAAATTTTAATACAAAAACGAGAAGAGCATTTCCCCGGTAAAATTTTATTCAGCAAACGGTCTCCAATCTTAGCAGTAATCCGGAGAAAATGCCTTGTTTTTTGGAAAAGCTTAAAATATTGCGAAAGTTATCAATAAGTACTGGGAAGATAACAGTGCTAGGGCTTATATAGTTCTGTATATCGGAGAGAAAGTGATGCTTTTAGCTAAAACAACAAAAGTTTAGCTCCCACGGTTCTCGAAATGCATGAGACAGTAGAGGCACGACTAGAAGTCAAATTCACCACTCCATCCCCACTATAAGTGTACTCTGGAAGCAAGCAATATTTCAACCTTTTCTCTACTCCGGGTATCCGTGGCAAAAACCAGCAGCACACGTCCTCTTCCTTTCCACCCATTACTCTCTCATTCTCCAAATGTACGTTACTTAGTCA